AACGGAGCCCTTGGTCACCTTGGAGCTGAACCAGGAGGTCCTGTGCTGGACCGTGAGGACACTCTGGGGAAGCTGCAAGTCAGTTGTGTCAGATCACTGAGCAAGCCGCTGGGCTTACGGGGGCTCTCCTTCGGTGGGGTCTTTCTTGATTTTGAATGGTTTGGGTCTGGGGACCATGGCTCTGAAGTGCCCTCCAAACTTTGGGAATTATCCTGCTTATAATAACCATAATGGTCTCCTCGGTGTGCTGTATTCTCCCAAAAGCCTTAACTGTATGTTCGTAGCTGTGAACCTCCAAGCAAATGATCTCCCGAAGACTGGGCCACCAGAAACGGAAGGAAGAGACTGGAGAGAACTGCGAGCCTGCCGTCCAGGCCCCTGCATGCCGCACAGAGGGTGTGAAAGCTGTGGGAACTGCAGAGCAGTACTGAGAGTGGCGCTAACCCCTTAAATTTACATCATATCTCTGTTATGCTGAGAGTCTGGTCAAAGGATGGGAGCCCTTGTTTAAAGAAGACAACAGGTCCCAAATGGAGGCACTTGAGCTAATCCCCCAGTCAGCAAACCAGGACTTGGTACCTAACCTAACTGCAGTTTTAGCCTGGGAGCCAGGAATGTAACCTGCAAGTACCTGGCCATACTAGTGAGGTAGGTACTCAGCTGCTAGACCCCTGCTGTCTCCCACAGGTAGATGGCCTTGCCTGAAACAATCCAACCTTTGCTAGAAACTTCCTCTTTCTGCTCCCTTCTGCCTAGAAAAGCCTTTCATTCTGTACAGCTCTTTGGGCTCCTTTCCGTCTGCTAGATGGGATACTGCCTGATTCATGAATAGTTGAATAAAGCCCACTAGATCTTTACATTTACTCAGTTAAGTTTTTTAATACTGGTATCTCCTACTTTCCTGCCTGGGGCTCCTCTTCACGCATGGAATTCACCAGTCATCTGACATATGGGCAAACCTGGAAAAGAGGGAAATAATGCCCTCTGGGGCAAACTTGATCAGTGGGCACAGGAGCAATAGAGAAACACACTCTACTTCTACACTTAAGTCACAAGAGTCTGAGCTGCATTCTTCAGTTTCTCAGAGGCTTCCGCAGCCACGACCAGCTTAGTGGCACATCCGTGTCTGTCTTTCCATCTTGTCTGTCCCTGTTCAGTCTCCCAGGGCCAACCCAACTCCTGCTCATTGGAGTCACTTCCCAAAGTAATTGTCTTTACTAGGCCTTCGTGTCAGGAAGAACTCATGTGTAGAAGATCATGCTATCTATGTGTTGGTCTTTCCTTTTAGATTCCATCTCTCAATAATAGATATTATAATACATATAATATAATATAATATAATATAATATAATATAATATAATATAATATAATATAATAATATATAATAATATAAATATATATAAATATGAAATACATATAAATATAAAGTTATCAATAATCTTGTCTCTTCTTCATAGCTCCTTCAAGTTAAGAAATTTCAGTCATTGATTATCCCACAGTTTCTCTATAAAGGATCTCTTAGACTTTGCTCTTTGAGTATATATTTGGTCCAGTTGACCATTACTGCTTCTGCATACATAAGCAAAACCCAGGAATCACATCACTTATTACAGAAATTCCCTTTGAGTTACAGTGTTTACATTGCATCCTCTGTAGCTGGTAGAGAAAAGATCCTAAATTTTTTCGAGTTGGAAACTGTCATTTGAGGGTTGCCATGAACTTCTGTATTGCAGGATGCAGGCTGTCCTTTAATTCTGGAAGCAACATTTTGATGAACCTTCGAGTGCTGTTAATGCACCTGCCACTCCCTCCATAGGGGTGTTATGCTAAGGAAAGGAAATGAACAAACAAAACAAAACAATATGATGGATGCATACAACAGATTAGTGGTTACAAGAGGGGCGGGGTTGGGAGGACAACGAATGGGAAAAGGGGTCAGTGGTATGGTGACAAATGGAAACTAGACCTTTGGTGGTGAGCACACTGTGGTGTACACAGATGTCAAATTATAATGTTGTACCCCTGGAACTTATATAATGTTATAAACCAATGTTCCTCAATTAAAAAAATAAAGAGTTTGCCCTGGCTGGTGTGGCTCAGTTGGCTGAGCATCGTCTCGTTCATCTAAATAAAAGGTGGCCAGTTCGATTCCTGATCAGAGCACAAACCCAGGTTGCGGGTTCGGTCCCTGGTCACGGTGCATATGGGAGGCAACCGGTGGACGTTTCTCTCTCACATGAATGTTTCCCTCTGTCTCTCTCTTCCTTCCTCTCTCTAAAATAAATAAAAACATATTTAAAAAAATCAAAATATAGAGTCCTTGCCATTCTGGGGAGGGAGGGAAAGTGGGTATATAAAAAGTAACAAAGGACATTAAATGATAATAAATTTTATTATTAACTGTCATTATAATTAGTTATATTTTGTGTAAATGGGGGGGTCCATTAAATTAGTCTCTCTACTTTTGTATGTTTTTGATATTTTTCTTAATGTAAATTTTTATAAGTGCAAACATTTTTGAAGAAATTATAAAAATGCATTGAGAGATATTAAGAAGAAACAAAAGGAGAGATATGCCAAGGTTATAGGTTGAAAGGCTCAATAGTGTGAAAATAAATGTTAGTTCTTCCCCATCTGAGCCCCAGTAGAGCTGGCCCCAGTGGTGTCTGCAGCGCCCCCCACTGGCAGCTTTCCCACAAGTTTTGTCAGCATCCCAGGGGGGACTTCTGTCCCAGGCGGCAGTCCCCTGCTAACCAGCCTCATCCGATTGGGAACCGCTGTGTCTCAGGGCTGCCCGAAAACTTCACCATCCGGTTGGCTCCCACCACGCTCTTTCCAGGGAGGTCTGAACCCAGTCTTGGGCCCAGGGTCTCCTTCCAAGTTTGTCTGTTCCTTAGGTGCTCTCCTTCAGCCCTTGGGTGTTCTTTTGAGTTCCCTTTTATGCCCTTTTAGTTGCAAATTCCTTATCAGTAGTTAGTAATTTTTCTATATTGCGTAGGCTCTGTTCACATTGCTGTGTGCTTTGTGTCTCCTAAGTGGACCTGATACATAGTAATAGTAAAGTTGAAGTTCTACATATGTGATATGTGTGACCAGCAATTGTGTGTGTGTGTGGGGGGAACTTACACACGTGTAGCAAAGTACAAATACAAGAATATCCATAGCAGTGTTGCCCAGCATAATCTAAAACTGAGAACAAATCCAACAGGAGACATATTGGCTGTGGGATGGGAGAGAAAGAGAAAAGTCAAAGATATCTCCAAGGCTTTTAACATGAACAACTGGGAGACGAGAGTCGCCGTTTCCTGAGCTAGGCAAATCTGCGAGGATCAAGGTTTTGACATTGGAAGGTAATATTGGCGACCAGTTTTAGACATACTGTGAGGCACTCAAAAGGCGGTGGCAAGCAGGCGGTTGGATATGCAAGCCTGGGTGACCAGCCTGGGTTCCCACTGAAACTGTACATTTGGGGGGGGCGGTCCTCAGCGTACAGAGCGTCCTTAAAGGCAAGAGATTGGGTAATGCCACCAAACAAGTGTGACATTGGGACACTCTTCTTGGATGACTGCCACAGTCTCACTCCCCCTGCCTCAGCTGTCATGCCCACCCTCCATCTCTACCCCCAGAAGGTCATCTTCTCTCAGCATCCGGAGTGACCTTGTAAAAGCGTAATTCAGATTAGATGGCTTCGGTGCCTAACCCTCTTCAACGGCCTCCTGTTGCTTGTGGACTGAAGTTCGCACTCCTCACCCCCCTTACTTTATTTTTCCTTCCCTGCCCTCTACAAACTGGTCCCCTACTGGGCTGTGTTACTTATTCCTCAAACTCATGGATCTTCCCCATTTCAGCGCATCTGTACTAGTGGCTCCTTCCCCCTGGAGGGGACCCCTCATCTTTCCTGGCTCCTCCTTTTCATTCAGATGTCAGCTCCCAGTGCCATTCTTACAGAGTTCCTTCCTGAACACCCTCCCGAGAGTATGTGATCACTGGTCACTCTTCCGGGACACTCAGTAGCACTTTTTCATGGCACTGATATCCCCCCA